CATTCCTGCCTTTCTGGATTCGAGGTAACACCAGAAAGTTTCAGTAACATTTATAAAGCTGCTCAGAGCCTGTTGTGATCACCACCCTTGGGTGGAGACAGAGTGTTGAAGCCTCAGGTGCGATTCTAGCTCTGAGTTATGGGGCAGGCACGCTCTGTGGGGAGCCCTGCAGTCCTGCTTCCAGGCTGTCAGCCACAAGAGAACCATGAGGTTCTCCCCATCTCCTTCCCTCCCTGCCCGTGAGACTGTGCTCCTTCAGAGGGAGCCAGGGTGGATGGGAGGAACGGCACGCATCCTGGTCCCGTCCCGAGGTCAGGACAGCCAACCTGCACACCCGAGACCAGCAGTAAAGTGGGATGCTGTTCCTTGCACTGATTTGTTCTGATTTTTAGAGCATTTAACATTAAGCCTGGAAAACAAGTATAGCACCTGCTTTGCTGTTATTTTCCTGATTTTTAATTTATCATTCCCACCTTTAGCCAGTTTGACATAGTGCTGTTTGGCTTAGCTAGGGGGTTAAATTCCATTTTGTCCTGATGAAAACTCTGTCACAGTGCTGCAATTATCTTTAATTTGATTTCTGTAATGTACTATACATGTTTGAAAAGATAGTGTTTGTTACTGTTTTCCTTACGGAATAGAATAATGAGGGGAAGTGGTACAGTAATTAGGGTGACTTATTTTCAGCCGGTTGCTTTGAAGTGAGAACATTTTATTTGTTTAGTTATTTTGGCATTACAGAATTTGCTGCATCAGTGTGAAACGTTGCTTGCAACTTGCAGAACTAACAGCCAAATTAAGAGTTACAAAAAAGTATTTGTGTAATAATATATCTCTTAAAAAGTTTGTAGCTCTCAAAGAAGCATAACACATGTACAGTTTGCAAAGATTCAGCATTTCTTGATCTCATGGGCCTCAGTTTATCATGGAAATCAGAGAGTGTAAAATTTCCACATAGGGTTAAAAAATTAACATTCTACTTTTTTTAATCACTGAATGTTATTCGAATGATGCTTTCAAACAACAAGTAAGTAGGCATACAGAGACAATAAATAATAACAAATTCTTTTTTTTTCCCCCTCTTTTTTAGGTTTGCAGAGTTCTTATTTACAGAAGAATTTAAGGCTGGTTCCCGGGCATTAGAAAGTGTATATAGTCTGTATGAAGGCTTCTCTGGAACTGTGTGTTTCCTGACTGACTTGCTGCAACCCAACCAAGCTGAGTTTCCTCTTTTCAGTGTTTTTGTCTAGAAAGTAACATTCTCCAGGGCCACATCCTAGTGGTGATGGGAGAGGGCACTGTGGTTTCACTAATTTGTTAAGAGAGGCTATTTACAAAACAAGCCAGTGGTACCACTAACACTAGCCTTAACATAGCTGGGGGTCAGGTGAAAAAGAAAACACAGTGGGGCTTTGGGAGGGAAGTGTGTGGTCAAAAAAAAGGGGTCAGTGAAAAAAAAATGGGGGAAGTGATTGAATCTGCTGGGGTAGATATTTAGCTGTAATAAGAAGCCATATGTCATTATTCCAGTGAGAGAGAAAGGGGCATTGTCAAACTTTTAATTTGGTGGTCACACAGGGGTAAAAAAAAGGCAAGCTAGAATTACAGAGACATGCAAAGAAGAAACAGTGATCCATCTCGTTGGTTTTAAAAAGAGACCTGCAAAAACCAGCCTTCATGCAGTGATGCATATATCGGGGAGGGTGTCGTAGACATGTCACTACACTGCACAAAGGCAAAATCTGTTTTTTTTTTTTTTTACCTAAACCACATGTACTAGTTCTGGTACCATGTATTAGAAGTGTCTGTGTCTTGGAGCTCTTTTGTCTTCATATGCATATAATGACAGTTATGTAGATAGCTGTATATACAGCCTGCAGTTTCATGAGTTCATTTCAGCTGGTGGGGTTTCATGTGTGTAAATGAGAACTCAGTTTGACCCTTCCTTTCAGAGCTCAGTCTGTAGCACGGAGCTGGTCTCCTTACTTATTTACTGTAACCACATCACTTCTTGTCAGTACTTTCCCTGCCACAGGGAAGATGAGTGGAGCCAAGGAGAAGACTTGGTTCTGTAGCAAAAATACAGCAGGCAGATGTTTTCTTCATGTTACAGCATTACTAGATAAGTATTGTTCAGTGATACAAAACCTTCCTTCAAAAATTAATTACTTAGAGAAGCATTTCTGAACAATAACATACATATTTCAGAGAATGGAAAATCTATATTCGTTGATGAATTTGTTCATTACAAATGGACACCTCCGATGGCATACTGATCTTAAGAAAAACTTGATAACAAAATTCAAAATTGCTTCTTTTGCTGGTTAACAAAATACTGCATATGCCCAGATGATTTGTAGCTATAGAAACAAATGGGCTGTTCAACACTAGTTGCACTAGCACTTAAGGTTCTAGTTATACACTGGTTTATATGTATTATATATATGACATAGTACTTGAAAGCTAAAGAAAATGCTAATGTAGATTTGTACTAAAAAACCTATAAAATCAATATCAGTATTTAAAATATATTTGCTATATTTATTTTTTTTTAACATATGAGAATAATGTAATACAATTACCTTTAAAGACAGATTGGGAAGACGAGTATGTCAAAAATCGAAGTTGGGGTGAAAAATCTGACCTACATGCACTGCCAAACAATGCAGTGCCTCCTCCTGCATTCTCAGCTGGAGGAGATTACAATTTCTTTATTTTTAATGCCTAATGGATTAAAGTTGCCATTTAATTTCAGTGGGCCTTGATCAAGCTATAAGCTGGAGCCAGGTCATGCAACCTTCCACATTTTAATATGGTAATCCCATTCCTACTCTTGCCACTGTTATTTTAACGTGATGGCTTGCATTTTTATGAGCTGCAGATTAGGATTTCTGGTATTTTGTCTTGCACTGTGCAGCTCTAATTAATTCCTCTAATCATAGGAGTAACCATATTTCATTGGTGAATAAAGCAGTGCAGTTCTGTACCAGTTTGTCAAGAATTTAGGAACTGTTTTTGTGAAGGGTAATGTCAAACTGCAGTATATCGTGTTTATTATTTGTGGGATAAATGGTCTTTTAAGAAAGCCATAAATGTAATTTTGTTACTCTGACCAGTGAGACGCATAGGCACAGGAGGATGTATTTCACAGGGAGGTGTACATGTGAGTCTAAATCAAAGAGCCCATGGAGATGTGCGTGTGCTCTTCCCAGCCACGGTGAAAAGCTCCTCTCTTATCAGAACAAAGTCAGTTTAGTGAAGTAGTGAAGATCCTGAGTCCATTAGGTGTTTGATCGAGTTGCTTCCTGTATTGCGGGTGGCTCCTATATTTCATAACTGGAATCCTCCCAAACAAATGTTTAAGAAAGGTAAGACTTGGCCTATCCTTATTTTCCCTCTGGTGAATAGCTTTTCAGTCTTCATGTTTATGGTAGGGTAATGTCACTCAGCTAAAACACGTCACTAACATTTGTGCCATAGAATGTAGATTGCTAATGCAACTGTATTCTCTCTTACTGTAAAACAGAGAAATAAGTTCTGCCATGATCTAGACTCAAGCTGTTGCAATCCTATATTTATTGCAAATCCTTTTACAGATGAATGCATGAAACAACAATGCCTACTGTTTTGATAGCTACGCCATCAAAAAAACCCAAACAACTCCAAACTTAAGCCTTAACACAATCCATACATATCAAAATAGTAATCATGACCTTTTGATTTTGCCCCCCGTGCCTGCTTTTTAATTATCAGTAGGCCACAACATTTAATGTTTTAAACATTTAATGTTTAAATTTAAACATTTAATTTAATGAGCTAGTTATATCTCAGGAGATGCTTGAAGAAGAAAAATCTTTGCCAAAACCTCAATAAATCTAGAGCATAATGAATCATTATAGTAACTTAGATCCCGACCAAATCATGAATGCTTATATCATAACATATACCACATATATGTTAAAATTTCCCATAATAGCAGAAAAATCACTCAATTTTATTATGCCTAACTCCCAATGGTTGTGTTTGCATTTACCTTTTAATGTGATTCTTCATAAATGGCAGGAAATATGCATTAAGAAGTTGGTGACAGTTTTCTAGTAGTTCTCCCTCTCTGTCTCTTTGTAGAATTAATTCCCTCTGATTTATAGTCAGAGGAAACTCCAGTCTGCTCTGCATTGTGCTCAACAGCACCCACAAAACAAATCCCCTGTCTCCGTAACCATTCTCCATATATGAAGCCATGCGTTTGGCTTCATTTGATACTTATCCTGTAAGAAAGAATATAGTTATTTGAGGAAGAATTAGTCCAATCAACAGTGAGAAAACCCATTCAACCACCCAGATTTCAAAATCTAGTTCCAAAATGTTTCTCTGCAAGTTAGGCGAGCTTGGTGCCAACTTCAACAAGGGCAGCAGGCAAGCTTTGTTTACTGATGCTTAAGATCAGTAACAATAACATAAACTTCTAGTCCCATGGGATACTTTCTTGTAAAATCTTGGGACATAATTACTCATCTGTTTCATCAGACATGGCAGTTTGAGCTCATTCTTAGAGCTTCATGGCTTTTCTTACCTGACCTGTCTGGGTTAAGGTGGCTACTAGGCATGCTGTGGTCACAGCTTCTCAACACAGTGTAAGTATATCCCAGAGCTCTTCTGAAAATGCCAATCATTAAATGAGCAGGTTTTTTCTATCTTCTTTTCCTTCCTCTTAATTGTCTATCTGTCTTTTTTATCCTTTGTACTATATATGCTGTTACATATGTGCTGTTGCAACTTTTATTTGTTTCTTTTAATACATGGACAGGGAGGCAACCTGAGCAGAGCCACCAGCACTTTTCAGAGTAATAAAAAAATAATAAGGTCCTTTGTGTTCCCTCCTTACTGTCTCGAAAAATCAATCATGCAACCTTTGCTAGACATTCTCAGCAGGATGTTGTCTGCTCCTACTCCCAAACCAGGCCCTAATAGACTGAAAAATTGAATTCCTGAACAGATTCTGCCATGGTGCTGTTGACAAAAGACTGTGTTACCAGAAACTTGAGAAGCCTCTTTCAAAGTATAAAACACACGTTACTATGTCACATTTGCACATCAGTTTCTTGACTGTGCTTAGTTTCTAAAGTGTAAGCAATAGGAATTTAAGTGATATAATAGTATTTTTTATTATGTTGTTAAAGCAAAGAGGATGCATTGTGTGGGTATTGGTGCTTATTTGTGATGTGCCTGTGTTAGTGTGGTGCTGCTTGTGAGTAAATCTGTAGATTACAAATCAGTTCAAGGAGTTTATATGCTATCCATGACTTTTGGTAGGCCATCCATAGAGTACTATTAAGGAATAATTTTGAGGGAAACTAGATCTGTAACTGAAACCAGATTTAGTGATCTCAGGATTCATAGAGATAGATGCAATACATTTCATCAACAGTACAGTCCTAAAAAATATATCTTTTTTTTTTTTCTGCTACTTACAACATCTAGGCGTGATAATATGTTCATTTTGTGCCACTGCTTTCAGTATCTGCTTTGTTTGCATTGTTGTTTCCTTCAGTTTTCCTGCCTTTCCCAACCTGTGAATAACTTAAGGAGATGGAAGCAGTAGCCTAGGTCTTTTGCTCTTGAAAATAAGATCAATTAATTTTACTTAAGAGAGGTGTTCCCTTTATTTTACGCTCCCAGGTGGTCTCTTCTCACTGGCTCTGCCATTTCCCACCTGCTAAGGAAAAATCACGATGCTTTGTAACAACTGTCACTGATGTTTTACATCACCAAATAAAACAAAGAGAGACTTTCTAGGGAGCATGTTCACTTCTCTAGTATCTCAAGTCTATTAAGACAATTAAAACAAAGTGAAATGGTTAAATATCCCCAAATACACATTTAAATAGTTTTGTGAAATATGCACAACTGAATGCAAGTAAAGTGGTCTTTTTGCTACTCTGTGAAACTAAGCAATCCCACTTTGATGTTCTAATAATAATTACATGGACATTTAGAGAATACGGTAAGACTACTGATCAGTTTTTTAAATACTGTGTAAAAAAACAAACGTAGGTATCTGATATATTCAGAAACATACAGGTGCTATACGTGCAAATAGAAGCTTCCATAAGCGATTGATTTTTGTATTTAAGTTGTTATCTGCATATACAGTTATAGCATCTGCCAACATATTGCATGTTTCATCCCATCGGTGACCTATTTTAGTATATGCATGCATTTTGAGAATATAGCCTTGTTACCTGGACCTGTAAGATCCATGGACAGAGTGCC